TATTGTTAACTCTAGGCACAATGTTGTCCAGGAGATTTCTAGAACTTATTTATCTTGCATAATTGAGACTTTATGTCACTTCATTAGCAACTCCCCATTTCCTCCTCTTCCCAGCCTCTGGCAGCCACTGTTTTACTTTCTGATTCTATGAGTTTGATTATTTTAGGTACCTCATATAAATGGAACATACAGTCTTTGCCCTTCTGTAATTGGCTTATTTCACTTAGCATAATGTCCTCAAGCTCCATTCATGTTTTCTCACGTGGCAGGATTTCCATCTTTTTTAAAGGCTGAATAATATTCCATTTTGTGTATAGACCACATTTTATCTGTTCATCCATCAGTGGACAATGGGTTGTCTCTACATCTTACCTATTGTGATAGCACTGCAATAAACATCGGAATGCTAATATCTCTTCGAGAGCCTGATTTCAATTCTTTTGGATAAATGCCCAGAAGTGGAATTGCTGGATTGTATAGCAGTTCTATTTTTAATTTTTTAAGCAATCTCCATACTTCTTCCATAGCGGTTGCACCATTTTGCATTCCCACCAGCAGTGTACAAGGTTCCAATCTCTCTACATCCTCTCCAACACTTGCCTTTTTTTTTTGAGGAAGATTGGCCCTGAGCTAACATCTGTTGCCAATCTTCTTCTTTTTGCTTGAGGAAGATTGTCCCTCAGCTAACATCTGTGCCAATCTTCCTTCATTTTGTGTATGGGACACTGCCACAGTGTGGCTTGATGAGCGGTGCATAGGTCCACACCCACGATCTGAACTCATGAACCCCAGCCTGCTGAAGTGGAGCATGTGCACTTAACCACTATGCACTGAGCTGGCCCCACAATTTTTTTCTTTTAGAACAGTCATCCTGACAGGTGTGAGGTGCTATCTCATTGTGGTTTTGATTTGCATTTCCCTGATAGTTAGTGACGTTGAGCATCTTTTCATATACCTATTGGTCTCTTGTATGTCTTTTTAGAAAAATGTATATTCAAGTCGTTAGCCCATATTTTAATTGGGTTATTAGTCTTTTCCCCTATCGAGTTGTAAGTTTTCCTTACATATTTTGGAAATTAACCCTGTATTTGACATACCGCTTAAAAATGTTTTCTCCCATACCACTGGTTTCTTTTTCTCTCTGTTGGTTATTTCTTTAGCTGTGTGGAAGCTTTTTAGTTTGGTGTAGTCCCACTTGTCTATTTTTGCTTTTCTTGCCTATTCTTTTGGTGTCATATCCATGAAATTCCATACTTTTTCTATGCCTTTATTTACACAGATACATTATCAACATCTATAGCATGACCTCATTTTTGTAGGAAAAATATGTATCTAAGTAATCTAATTTTTATCATTTATATTTAAGCTATTTTGGGGGGCAAAATGTATTTTCCCCTTAATAGTAGATAATGGATGTTATATCATGCCAGTGTATATAAATAGATCTGTTATCTTTAAAATAGCTTTATAGTAATAATAAGAGCTATTATTTTAAAGTATACATATAAGACCTCTTCATAATTTAAGATTGGGTATTTGATGCATGTGTCCCAAATTCTCTTGGTAGATTGTAATTAAAAAAAATATATTTGATTGTGGGGGTGGCCCCATGGCTGAAAGGTTAAAGTTCCTTGTGCTCTGCTTTGGCGGCCCTGGTTTGCAGGTTTGGATCCCAGGTGTAGACATACTCCACTCAACAGCCACGCTCTGGAGGCATCCCTCAAACAAAGTGGAGGAAGATTGGCACAGATGTTAGCTCAGGGGTAATCTTCCTCAAGTAAAAAAGAGAAGAATTGGCAGCAGATGTTAGCTCAGGGCAAATCTGTCTCACACACACACAAAAATGTATTTGATTATTTATTAACTTTCCTGTATGGAAGTCTTTAATTTTTAGTTATTTAAATGTATTAATCTTTTCCTTAGTGGTGTCTAAGCTCTGAAGCATGCTTTGAAAAGCCTTCCCTAAGTAGTCCATTTTAAATTTCTGCTATGTTACCAATTATTTCCTTCTATGATGTGCTTCATTCTTTGGACACAATAATTGGCCACATGTTTAACAAAGAGGCTTCTTACTTGCTAAATAGATGTAGGGTATTCTAGAACAAAAACAAAATAATACACACAAAATAAAATACACACAAAAATCAAACAACATAAATAATAAGGTGAAAAAAGCAATAGAAAGGGAAATAATAGCAGAATTTCATGATTAGAGTCGGGAAAATACATACATATATACAAATATAGGTATATATACACCCACACACATACATACACGTATGTGGAAGACACATTGGTAAAAGTTGTTAGGTAGAGATCCCACTTTGTTGTTTTGTTTCCAGATGCCTACCCCGACGTGTCCTAAACCATTTGTTGGATAATCCATCTTTCCCACACTGATATGAAATGACAGACATATTTTTAGAACCAGGCTTTCAAGCAAGATATTTTTCAAATAAGTTGCCATCTAGCCCACTGCCTTCCCCAATAAACAAACCCTCACTATATCACTTAGTTTCTTATTTTATTCATACTCCAACCCCAACTGTGTGTGGGTGATAGTTGTGACTATGGACCTCTTGGGGTACCCCTGCTGTCACCTCCTCAGGAGAAGACAGGCCAGAGAACAAGCAGTCTGAGTTGTTGATCTCAGAAATCATGTCTGGCAGTGCAGTGCCCTGAGGACTGGCATAATGTGTTTCAGGATGGCTCGTTCACACTATGAATTTCTTCATGCATGAATTAAGGCTAAGCAATATGTTCAGAGAGATGGTGGAGAAATCTGCATTCCCAATAGTGAGTGTAGCCAGTGATGTCAGATACTTGTCATGACATTACATCTCAAGGACAGCTGCCCAATTTTCTTCTGAAAGCTCTTGAGCAGTATTGATTTCATTGAGATAACTGGGAATTTCCATCCACTCACAAGACAACAATTGAGGTATAGTGTGTCGACAAAAGAGAATGACTGGGAGGGAGGGCACCAAGTTTCCTAGTCCTAACTTGATGCATGTAGTTAGCGGGTATTCAGGGGACCAACTCAATTTATTTGATTCTCAGTTTTCTTCATCATCTATAGAAGGTAGTTAGAATATACAATGTCTTAGCTTCCAACTAGATAAAAGACCATGATTCTATAAGAATATGGTTCCTCTATTTGTTCATTTAAACTTATTTGCGGATAAATCGAGCCCTTGTTGTGTGCAAAGAATTCTTTTAGTTGCCAGTGAATAAGATACGGTTATGGTGGTAAGGAATTTGTGAAAGGAGTTTATTTGGAAGAGAGAAGTAGAACAGTTTAGTGTGACTCAACTTAGAACAAGCTACTCTCCCCGTTCCAAACTGGAATACAGGCTCTGTGATGTACCATAATTCTATTCTAAGGCTGATTCTAATGATCCTGGTCAATGTTAAATGACTCCTCCAGGGTTTGTGTGGTAATAACACACTGAACGTAGGTGATAGTTCATAAATCCTTTTTGCAGTGAAGGTAGGTAGTGTTATTGTAGGTTTTTTTTTTTTTTTTACAAGATCCTTACTTAAGACTAACTCCTGACAATATTTTGAATCTTAGCCTTAGTAGCTAGCCTAGAAGCAATCTAAACAATAGAGGTTTCATGATCCCAAACAGATGCTACCACTTCCTCTTTAAAATAGTATGACTCTTCGCTCTGGTTGTTTCTTTTTCTTAGCGTAAATTCTCATCCCAGTAATTCACAAATTCTATACAAAGGACATATGATTAAAACACTCAAACTTAATGCTTCAGAAGATGAGTTTTGACTAGGAGAAAGGAAGATGGAGGAAGAACCATTTCAGGCTAGGAATCTTCTTTTTACAAAAGTTCAAGATAAGAAAACGCCCAACATCCTGTTAGAGATCAGTGAGAAAGAAGGATTAGTTGAAAGCATGAAAGTCAGGAAGGAAGTAATGGAGCATCATGGGTAATGGAGACCGATGGAAGGTTGCCAAGCTGAGAGTGACAAGATAAAAGTAGAAATAAGGTATGATGAACTTAGTGGGAGGGTAGGACCTGAGGAAGAGCTTTTAAGCTCCCAATTTTTGGCACATATTGAGTGGAGGGTGGGCCATGACAAGAACTGACTCATGAGCATTTGGCATAGCAAATTTATAGGATTCAGTGCTAATCTCATTGGTCATTGTACACAGTCTCCATACTACACATTTATTTTTTCATAGGTCTAAAAATAATGTCTGCACATTGAATTTCTGTCCAGTAAGAACTGATAAGGCATTTAAGAAGGCCTAGCCTAAACCTTTTCAAAAAGTGAAAATAAGTCAGCAAAATTATGCCTATTCTAAAATATAATTCTTTCTATCCACTCCATAGTGTAATTGCCACTTGAGGCAACTTCCAACAAGAATTATAATCTAGGTGCTTTCTGTGATGACAGAAAGGTGAGTACCATGGTCTGCAGGGCAGAGCAATAAATATAATTCCAATAATCCACTGTACGTCTAAAGTCAGGGAATATTTCAATGGAATTGGTCTTATTTTATTGGGATGAATAAAATTAAAGGACACAATACCTGATAAAGGAGTAAAAAGCTTTTAGGCTCAGAAAAGGACCTAATGAGAGAAAGAATATATATGACAGTTTTTTTCCTTCAGTTTCTCAACTAAATTCCACTAGTGGACTTTTCCAAAAGATTTGGACCATACTTCCAAGTCAGATGTTATTAGAGATCATCATAATTTGAGTCTCTGTACTGGCTTACACCAAATTATCCACCCTTCCAGCCTAAAACCAATGTGTCTAAATGGTTTCATGGTGCTGTTTATGTACAATAACCAACTCTTAAAATGAGAAGTCTGTTAGGAGCAAGGGTCCTCACTTCCAGCATGTGGCTTGCACAGTGAGAGAGTCCTTAAAAGTCTCGGCATGATGATGAACCCAGCGTATAGGAGTTCCACATTAAGTCATAATTGGCTTTGTGGTGGGAGAGTACATGTCAGTTGGTGAAATCAGGCAGAGGAGAGTAAGAGTTTCTTGTATTAACAACACAGCAACTGATCGCCCGCTTATTACTCAAAACAGTAGAACTGTAGGGAGGACTTTTCTAGTCCCAGAATAGAGGCGTGACCTTGCCCTGATGTCTTTATATGAGAAAACATCTACAGCAGATTTGATGGAGAATCTCAGGGAAGAACTGACCTGTTTCATCTGCCTGGACTATTTCACCAACCCAGTGACCACTGAGTGTGGGCACAGCTTTTGTCTGATGTGTCTCCTGAAGAGCTGGGAGGAATATAACACTACTTTGTCTTGTCCTGAGTGCTGGAGGACCTTGGAGACCCCTCATTTCCAGCCCAATGAGCGTTTGGGGAGGCTGGCTGGCATTGGCAAGCAACTCAGATCCCAGGTGCTGCAGAGTGAGGACGATCAAGGCAGCTATGGGAAGATGCTGGCGGCCGCCAAGGTGTTCTCTGTTGAGAAGCAGGGTGTAAACGCTTCCTCAACCCATTGCCATGGAATAAACAGGGTCTATGTCTCGAGTGAGGCTGAGGAGCATCACAGAGTAAGATTGTTTGCTCAATATAAATCTCAGAACACAAATCAGTTTCCATCACTTAACTCCCATAGTATTCTCTCAGTCATGGGTGCTGATCTCTTGGCACCAGACCACAAACAGCGTGGATCCTACTCCATCCTTTGTTTTAGAGTCCCAGCTATCTTCTTGTTATTTGTCCTCAAGTCACCTTCACGACCTGGTGCTCTGTTCATTTGCCACAGAGAGTTTGTTTCCATTGCAGGAGAAGCTCCAGGAAATCCTAACTCTTTTGCGTAAAAAGAAGAAGGAAACTCAGATTATATTAACGCATGAGAAGGAGAGAGTGATATTGTGTAAGGTCAGTATCTGTCTTACTTTCGCATCTTGTATATGATTCCGTGAGGAGGACTAAAGGGATGTGTAGTGAAATATTAGGGAAAAAAGACACAATTTTCCAGTCCCAGACTTACCATTTGCAGCATCCTTACTTTGGGCTGCCTACTTCTGCCTGTCCACCAGGGAATCTCAGGACTCAGCTTAATTCCTCCATCCCTGGGCCAGCTTATTTTTTCCCTTCTTGGTGCACCTAGACGACTCCCTGGCTACCTCTATTTTGGCTCCGATTATAATTATTTAAAATATAAGTTATATCTATAGACATATCACATAGGATGGAAATCAATAAAAGAAAGGGCATCTCTCAAATGCTTTGGGGGAAAAAAGAGAGGGCAAATAAAAAAGAAGAAAAGAGGGAGGGAAATAAAAGCAAATAGTAGTTTGAATTAGTACGCCTGAATGAATGCTCCAGGTTAGTCACAGATTTGAATTTGAGTTTCCAGCAGAGCAGAGAACTAAATGTTTAATTAGATATTTAAAAAATATGTGTGTATCTGAGTCTCTCAATAGGTTTTGAGGTCTTATAAGGAAGTGTTTGTGATGTTCATTTCTACTCCTAGTATGTGACCCAATGCCTAACTTCATTGAATAAATGTTTGTTGACTAAATGAACATACCATTTTTCATAAATTTTGTCCTTTACTTTTTATCATGGTACTGATCACCACCTATCATATATTTTTTTGCTGTTTATTTTTATTTTTTCCCTCTAGAATGACAGCCTCCTGGGTATAGACATTGTGGTTGTCTTTACTATTGTATCTGTAACACACTTTCTAAAATACCAAACTGTCCACCCAACTGGTTAGTAGAATATGTTATGTGTCAGGTTTCAAGAATTGTCACAGTGGAACTCTAGGACTTTGTAAGCATTAAAAATTGACATAGGTGTTTCTGTTAATAACTTTATGATGTCATTTGTGTGTGTGTGTGTGTGTGTGTGTGTGATGGCAGGAAGAGACAAAGACCTGTAAACAGGTTGTTGTGTCGGAATATGTAAAAATGCACCAGTTCCTGAAGGAGGAAGAGCATCTGCAGCTCCAGTTACTGGAAAAGGAGGAAAGAGGGAACATGAAGAAACTGAGGGACAATGAGATCCAACTGACCCAGCAACTCAGAAGCCTAAGCAAAATGATCCAACGCATAGAGTCTGTGTGTCAGAACCCCATTATAGAATCTTTTGAGGTAAGACTATTGGGAAAATTAATGAAAAAAAATCATATAGTAACCTATAATATTTCAATTCATATGAAATACATTTTTCTTTATTTACTTGAAAAACTAAGTTTTGGTCTGAAAATAGTTTTCCTAAAGAATTAATATTCTCTACAGTATAAGTAAAGTCTTGAAGGGGCAAAGAAAAAAATATAGAGGAATATCTACCTACCCCAACCAAGCATGATGATGACTCCAATTTCTTCTGTGCCTACTTCTCTACAACCTCTGCTCTGTCGAGTACTTTAATAAACAATTACTATGTGCTGGACATATTAAATTTCCTCTTCATAAAGACCTGAAGAAGTTAAATACTATGCTATAGGTGATTGCTGTCTACAAGAGTGGTTTATAGTAGCACTTGTTTAATAATTCAGACCTATGACAGTTAGGTAATTTGCCTGTCAAATAGCTAATAGGTGTTTAAATCCAGATGTTCTGCATACTGAGCGCACACTCCGCACCATCTTTGCTCTCCTGCTACTGGGTTCTCTGGACCTCCTTATACATAAGCTCTTTGGGCCAATTCCAGCTCAGATCTCTTTCCTGGACTGGCTGCACAGAATGCTGCTATTTAATTTAGTGCCTTCCCAACAACCCACTCCAACCACACACAGATTTAGTCTCGGCTCTCCACTCTGCTTATCCCTGACTCCCCAAAGCATTGGATAATGAAGCCAATAATTTGGCTCCATTGTCAGCAACAGGTTCCCTTGACAAAGTGATGATATGAGAAAAAAAAAAGGACAAAGTAGTCTCTAGTCATTGGGAGACATCTCATGTTCACTAGAACTCACCCCTAGAAGAAGTGGGGGATTGTTTCTACCATACGCTCACGCATTCAAGGTGTTCTAGAGCCATGGGAAGTGGATTCTGTGAAATTTGCAAAGGACTGTATCCATGATGGAGTCAGTCTTTGCTAGTGATCAAAGTGCACAAATACTAACCTTCTTTCTTTTATACCCTTAGGATGTGAGGGGCACACTGGAAAGGTAGGTTTCCATTCTGTGTTCACTTATATAAGATATAGGGATGTGATGCTGATGAAATAGGTTATCAGAGTGGGGATGAGAGTGTTCATGCCATTGGGACAAAATGAGCTGGACTCTCAAATTGGAGCAGGTCATGGGGTCTGTGAGGAGGACATAGAGTGACTGTCTCTGCTCTCTTGTAGGAGTGAGCCACTCTTGCTTCAGTGTCCAGAGGCCACCATCACAGAGCTGAGTCTGTGCCGCATCACTGGAATGAGGGAGATGCTAAGAAAATTCAGCAGTAAGTCCACCTGATTTGTTGCCTGATTTCCAGACTTAACTTCAGTATATATTAAGGGATGCAAAACTGAGCCTTTAGGCAGCTTCTTCTAACATAGAATATTCACCATCTGGGTGCCAGGTGCTCAGTGAAGGCATCTTAAGCCAGTACTAAACACCAGGGAAGGCTAGGGCCACAGATCATCTCTGTGCTCGACTGATGTTTGATCTGGCTTTGCTTTCTGTCTAAGGAGTCCTGGTCCTTCCTTTGTTTGTTTTTACTGTTCTATTTGGTCCATCCTATCCCCTTGCACATACACACACGTGCACACACACACGCACACACACACATCTCCTCAGAGGTTTCTGCATTTCTACCTTTGTTCTTATTAGGATAAAAGCTGACTTAAACTCTTAAGTCTCAAGGAGGGAACATTCAAAGGACTATCCTTTTAGAATGCCCCAGATATTTAGGCCGGCTAAGACCAAGAGTGATCAGTTTTAGTTTTCAACTTTCATCTTGTACACAATCTGACCTTCAGAGGAAGGGTAAATGGGCATTGGACTCAGCAGATACTTGATCAGTGCCTACCGTGTGCCTGGCACTGTGCTACTGAGCTCTGAGCTGACTTACAATGATTCATGAGACAGACTTGCCTTTGCTTTTGTAGAACTTTCAGTAAAATTGAAGAGACAGACAGTAATCACACAGATAATTAGTTATGATTGAGATTTGGTCTACAAGTGAAAGTATGAAATCGTATTATAGGGGCACATAATCTTGTCTGGAGAGTCAGCGAAAGTTGGAGGCCTCTTCTGTGACTTCCTCTCAGGAGGATGGGAGAGGAGGCGCCTCACCGGTTGACAGTGCGCTTCATCAAATGGTCACTGGTGGTTCCACCAATTCATATGATGCTGCAGTTAGCATGACATAATAGAAAATGCTGACTAGGAATTGCTGTTCAAACACTCAGTCACTTTGTCATCTTGGTCCAGTTACCTAATCTATGAACCTCAGTTTTCTCTTTTATAAAAATGGAAAAAAATTAATAATGTTTGCCATGATTGAATGAGATAATGTACAGAAATGCTTGGCACCCAAGTAGGAATTGAATAAATGATTAACTGTATGTATTTCTCTCCCACCCAAACTGAAGAACCAGAACCAATCTTGGTGAAAGTGAATACAAATGACAAAAGTGTACGCTCAGGTGGATAAATAGCTCTGAGTCCTAAAACTGTCTTGTAAAGAGAAGAACTTCCATTCCATTTTCAGAGATTCCTCTCTCGCTCTCAGGCAGGCTAAATATCACTCTCCACATGACTCTTTTATGTTTCCTTTTAGAGGTTCCATGTTTTGTGAAACAGTGAAAGAAGAGCTCAGAACAAAACAAAAATCCCCACATACTCCCCTAAATTATATTTTTAACAATAGGACTGAATACTAAGAACTTATTTAAGTTCCACATATACAGGAGGGTTTTCAAGAATGCAAATGAAGATTCACTCTTTTCTTCTCTTGCAGCAGATATAACTCTGGATCCAGACACAGCCAATGCCTATCTTGTCCTATCTGAAGATCTGAAAAGTGTGAGACATGGAGGAACCCGACAGCTGTTACCCGACAACCCGGAAAGATTCGACAAGTCTGCAACTGTGTTGGGGGCTCAGATCTTCACATGTGGGAGACATTATTGGGAGGTGGAAGTGGGAAACAAGACTGAATGGGAAGTGGGCATCTGCAAGGACTCAGTGAGCAGAAAAGGCAATCTCCCAAAGCCAGCTGGCGACCTCTTCTCACTTATAGGCTTAAAAATTGGAGATGATTATAGTCTTTGGGTCTCATCACCTTTAAAAGGTCAACATATCAGAGAGCCTGTGCACAAAGTTGGTGTTTTCTTGGACTATGAATCTGGACATATAGCATTCTACAATGTGATGGACGAATCCCTCATCTACAGCTTCCCTTCAGCCTCTTTCCAAGAGGCTCTCAGGCCTATATTTTCCCCTTGCCTCCCAAATGAAGGGACGAACACAGGCCCTCTTACCATCTGCTCACTAAATAGCCATGTCTGAGGGAGATGTCCCCAAGCCTTTACTGAGGATGAGGTCTGAGACCAACAGATGACTATTAATTAAGATGATTAATGCATTGACAGTATTAACATCAGGTGATCTGAAAAAAAAGCACCCCCCAAAGAGTTTCCATTAACTTGAGCCAGCAATCAACAGCCATATTGAACAATCAACTTCTAACACCCAGAGGAGAAAGCTGATCATATCCTCTGTCTTCAATCAAATTTATTATCTAGATTGCCCCATGTATGTGCTGGTCACTAAAAACATAGTGATAGGACTAGCCCCTGTTATCCTGAAACCCACTGTTATAAGCCAGTTTTATAAATATATGTCATTTTTTCAAGTGTATTTATTTATTCGACTCTAGAAAACTCTGCTGTTTGAATGTGTCTTTGTCCTCTGTGCAGAGCTCTGCACACTGGGGCCATCCGAACTCCTCCAAGGGGCTGGAGGCACGGGTTCTCCCTTCCAGGGTTGGTGAGAGGGACTCATGACTCAGCCGTCTCTGAAAAGTCACTTTTCTCCCCATCCCACGGGGCCTGGAGTATTTGTACTCAGGAAGGCTTATGTGTTTGGAACACTGCAAAAATAGGTGTGAATGTCATCATATCATTCATGTTACCGTAACCATGAGAGGCTGGAACCTTCTGTTGTTTGTTACTATGTTCAAAGCTGACAGAGCAAAGTCTCTATTCAATAAATGTATCGAGGCTAGGGGTGCCAAGTGACTTTGACTTTTTTTTTGGTGGAAGTTTAGCTCTGAGCTAACATCTGCCGCCAATCCTCCTCTTTTTGCTGAGGAAGACTGGCCCTGAGCTCACATTCATGCCATCTTCTTCTACTTAGTATGTGGGAGGCCTGCCACAGCATGGCTTGCCAAGTGGTGCATAGGTCTGCACACGGGATCCAAACCAGCGAACCCAGGGCCACTGAAGCAGAATGTGTGAACTTTTAACTGCTGCACCACCAGGCTGGCCCCATTTACTGATTTTCATATAAGATTATTTTCTGGGCTTTTGCTATTTGCCCTGAGCAGAAGGCTTTCAGTCCCTGACAGTCCAAATCAAGTCCACTCTCCTCTCAGCATGCCAGGGTTTGTGGAGAAGGGCGTGGTGTCTGAGTGGACCGTCTTTTGTCTGGTCTTGGATGACCTTCTGTTGGAGGTCTGCACTCCTGCTCCCCATTCTTGTGCTCTGTCCCTGAAGGATTTTTTAAAATTTTAATTTCTTCCTTCTTGCTCACATTGCGGAATGTCCCCAGTCACAGAGGGTAGTTCCTTACCTCCTCTTCCCACTCAGATAAGTTAGTATTAGGATTTTCAGTTTCAGGCAAGAAAATTGATAAGATTTAACCCATCCATGATGGCATAATTATTAAGAAAAAGTTTATCATAGATTTTTGTCTGTAAGTTAGAGACTAAGTTTGGGGAAAATTGACAATTGAACCTGTTAATCAGCACAGAAAACCATAGAAGGAGATCAGTTAGTAATTGGGCTTATTTTAGGGTCGGTGTTCACCCTTCTCATTAATCTAGATGTCTTTCGTCTTTCACCCTTATACATTTTAATCTTGTGCCCTCAAAGGCAAGGGAGCAGATAGGAAGTAGACTTTGGATCCCAGATAATGCCCCCTTCTGTTCTTTGTGCTCCCTATTTGTATTTTCACCCTGCCATCATGTACACTTAGAATCAAAAAACTATAGAGGAGGAGAACCAATCTTGTTCTCTTTAGATAATTTATAGCTCTGTTTCCCATTTTTTATTTAATTTAATTTTTTGATTTATCACCTCAAAAAGATAAAACCCAAATCATAAACAGCAAACATCAAACATATTTGGAATCTATCTCCCTCAATTACAAAAAAAAATATTGAATTTTTTTATTTTGGTAAATTAATATAAAAGTAATACATTTTAATTTTATGCACATTGCATTTAATTGTAGTGTAATCTAGGCGACAGCTTCTTTTATTTTTCCTTTGTCCCAAAGAGGTTGATGCTGTCAAGGGAACCAGTCTATTTCTTTCCTCTGGCAAAGGCATCCTGAGTAGATTTTGGCTGCACCATTTTCTACACTGGACTTGTCACTAAGTGGATGTGTGGGGAAGACTTTTTTTTTAAATTCTTAAATTTATTTTTCTTTCTTCTCCCCAAAGCCCCTTGGTACATAGCTGTATATTTTTAGTTGTGGATCCTTCTAGTTGTGGCATGTGGGACACCACCTCAGCATGGCTTGATGAGTGGTGCTAGGTCCATGCCCAGGACCTGAACCAGTGAAACCCTGGGCCACTGAAGCAGAGGACATGAACTTAACCACTCTGCCGTGGGGCTGGCCCCGGATATGTGGGGAAGATTAAATCTATACTATTAATCTATACTATTTTTACTCTTCTGAGTTTGCATAAACAACCATGAAAAATTTGCACGAAAATTTTCACCCAAAGTTTCTAAATATAAATTCCAAGCCAAGTAGACGTGGTGGTGAGGATGGGAGCAACAGTGACTGGCATGAAAAACTGAGAGGCGCGTTCCCTTGCTTGGTAAACTCATCCCCTTGCAGTGTTCAAGGGCCTGGATCTCTCTGCCTCAGCTTTTGAACATTTGACAAAGACATCTCCTCCAATGGGAATGGTGGCCCACATGGAACCTACCACCATTACTCAAGTGGTCCCTTTTTCCCTCCCCATTAACTCCTTCTCTCCTTCCCAAATCTTTGTCTTCCACCCTTTCGTGAGTGGACTACTTCTCCAGGAGGCAGCAAGTCACAAGTAGTCTCTTGTAGTGGACGTTACCAAAATGGAATCCAGACTCACAGCCACTTCCTTCTCTACCTCTCCACACTAGAGGAGAGAGGATATGTCTAGTCCTGAGGGCAGAGGACATCAAGAGTGATCTTCCACACAGGAGTGCAGCTTCATTACTTTGTAAATTTTTCTTGTCCTAAAGTACCTTAAAAATAAAATATACTTATCTTGCCCTGAACCCTGATTTACCAATAAAACTCCTTTAACGTTTCAGATGAGATCTTTATCTACCCTCCTGCTCTAATTATCACCACGCATGCGCATGCCCCGCCCCACCCTGCCCCCCAGTGTCATAACTTTGACCTAATATAAGTGAAGAGTATGGGTCCCTTATCTTACTTTGGATAACGTTACAAGGCCCTCTGATGCTGATTTAACTCAAGAACATGCCCAGTCTACCTTCCCTAGTCTTGAATTTCTCCATGCGTATGTACTATGGATGAGGGGCAACAGAATAATAGTAGGCCGCAGTAGGAAAATAGAAGAATGCTAAAATGTTCAAGGAATAAAAGAAAAGTTGCATATAATCTCACTATACAGAGATAACGAATACTTATATTATGGAGTGCATCTTTCTAGTTTTTTTCTATGTAAATATATAAACAAAATGAAAATTAATTACCTTGATATTATATTGTGAGCTTCCCTATTACTATTATTTCTTAAAAATATGATTTTTTCATCCCTAAATATATAAGCACGTATCTTCTAAGAATTAGCACATTTTGTTAAATGACATTTATCATATCAAAAATTTACATTCAATAAATGATACTATTTAATAAATGGTCCATATTAAAAATTTCCCAATTAGCCTGTAATGTTCTTTATAGCTGATTTTAGTCTTTCATCATTCAGGAATAATATAGGATCATGTGTTAAATGTAATTGTCTTGAAAAATATGATTTTTAAAGGGAGAAATACTTCATTGTATGAGTATCCCATATTTATTAATAATTTATTATTAATCATTCCCCTACTGTGGGGCATTTAGATTGTTTCCCATTTGTAGCTATTATAAACGACACTGGCATGGACGCACATGTACATAAACCTTTGGGTGTATTTCTAATCATTCCCCAAGTATATCTCCTGCTGGCTGGGAAGCCACCTGCTGATCCTGTGGGCATGTGTTGGTGGGTTGTCATCCCCTTACAAAAGCTTTATGTGCACTACAGGTAATCCAAAAGGTTTTACTCACTGCCATTTCCACACTGAAGATGCAGACACACAGCTTTGAGGCAAGTGAAAGAACATGCTTTCCTCCGCCCTGTGGTCTTGCCAGAAGCACTGCATTTATTCCAAGAAAACCAATCCTGGGAGGAAGTGAGGAGAAGTGCTTGGGCTTTGAAATCAGACATTCCTTGGTCTGAACACTGAACTTTACTACCAAGGAACTGTTTCAGCCTCCCCAAGTTATTGTAACTCTTAGAGCCTTAGTTTCCTTTCCTCAAAAATGTGGGAAATACCTACTTGTGATGACTACACAAGAACACAGAAAAACAAGTAATCTACAACGCCCGATGAATTTTCATTAGGTCTCCCTTCCTCGCCTCCCACATGGACACTCCATTGTGTAATTTGTCAGAAAGGAGACAGAAAAGCCACAGAATGCTCATGTGGACAATGGAAAACATTGGCACCAAAGTCTCTGAAATATTTCCAAGGTAGGTGTTACCATTTTAGGGGGAAAAACGTTAACATGAAATTCAGTTGAAGAAAAAGAAAATCTCTATGGATCACTTTCTCATCTTTCATGGAAGTGCTTTTGATCTTCACCCTTGTGAGCATCTCATTACCTAATTAAAAATATAAGCTCATGGGGCCAGACCGGTGACACAGTGGTTAAGTTCACACATTCCACTTTGGCAGCCTGGGGTTTGCTCGTTCAGATCCCTAGGGTGGACCTAGGCACCACTTGTCAGCCGTGCTGCAGCAGGCGTCCCACATATAAAGTAGAGGAAGATGGGCACAGATGTTAGCTCAGGGCCAGTCTTCCTCAGCAAAAAGAGGAGGATAGGGGGCAGATGTTAGCTCAAGGCTAATCTTCCTCAAAAAAGAAAAATAAACAAATAAAATGAAATCTCTTAGTGATAATAAAAACACTACGCGCATTTAAAAATAAATAAGTATAATAAATGGGAAATAAATGAAAATAAAAGCCATTCTAAAGTGGTCATCTCGTGTTCATTCTTCCAGTCTTAGCAAGGTCACATCTTGGCTCTGGGCTTCTAGGACATGGTGTGAACTTTTCTGGTCATTAGCTTTGCTACTTGAAGTACTATACCCAGAGGGGTGGGCCATGTAGCCTTATTCAACCATTGGGCTGAACTCAATGGGTGCTCCAGCAGATTACAGATGCCTCAGATATTGATTCCATCAGCCATGGGATGCGGCTTGAGATGGTCTCCATCAGCTTTGGAAACTCTTCCTCCTCTTCCAGCCTTATAGAAACACGTTAGATGTGTGCCACGACATGAGAAAAATTGGAAAACACTGCCGCCTCGCCCCCCCATAGGAGATCTATCTATAATA